ACCTGAGGGCTTCAGACCTACAGAAAAGGCAGGGACCATCTCCAGGTAAAAGAACAGGAAGGAAGCCGGCAGTGGTGGCGCACGCCTTTAATCCCAGCACTCGGGAGGCGGGGGGCAGGCAGATACCTGAGTTCAAGGCCAGCCTGGGCTACAGAGCGAGATCCAGGACAGGCACCAAACTACACAGAGAAAGCCTGTCTCAAAAAACCAAACCAAAACAGGAAACAGTGAGGCTAATAGAAATCACACACAGATATTGCTGGGCGGTGGTGGCGCACGCCTTTAATCCCAGCACTCACAAAGGCAGGCGGATCTTTGTGAGTTCAAGGCCAGCCTGGTCTACAGAGCGAGATCCAGGACAGGCACCAAAACTACACAGAGAAACCCTGTCTCGAAAAACCAAAAAAAAAAAGAAAAAAGAAATCACACACAGAGGTACAGCGTCGGGGATTCAGGCTGGGGGACACGGGGAATTCACAGTGGAGAGTAGAAAACAGCACAGTCTCTCCCAGGAAAGAAAGCGTGGCTGCAGCCCAGGGGGGCAAGGATGGAGTGGAGGAAGGACAGGGACAGAGGGAGGGACGGCCCGCAGCAGAGGGAGAGCCAACCATCAGCTACATGAGCCACACAACCTCTGCTGGATGAGCAGACCTGCGCCTCAGGGTCTCTGGTTCCCAAGGATCTCTCTCGTTCTCCGTCTTCCCATTTCCCCCCGGGGTGAGTGTGCACGTGTCTGCCTGTCTGTTTCTCGTCTCTGGGTCTCTGTCTGCTTCCACACCCATAGAACTGTGTCTTTCTGAGTCTGTGTGTGTGTGTGTGTGTGTGTACACGTGTGTGTCCGCACGTGTGTGCATGTGTGTGTGTGTCCATCTCTCTCTCTCTCTCTCTCTCTCTCTGTGTGACTCTGTGTGTGTGTGTCCATCTCTCTGGGTCTGTGTGTGTGTGTATGTCTGTGTGTGTGTGTGTGTGTGTCCATCTCTCTGGGTGTGTGTGTGTGTGTCCATCTGTGTGTGTGTGTGTGTCCATCTCTCTGGGTCTCTGTGTGTGTGTGTGTGTCCATCTCTGTGTCTGTGTGTGTGTGTGTCCATCTCTCTGGGTGTGTGTGTGTGTCCATCTCTCTGGGTCTGTCTCTCTCGGGATATCTCCATGTGTCTCTCTGGGTCTCCATCCTCTTCTCTATCCGAGTCTCTGTCTCTCTCTTACTGTCTCTGAATCTGTACCTCCCTTCCTCCTTCTCTCTCTCATCCCCCCACCCCCCACCCCTCCCACCCCCGGCCCCCACCTCTATCCTTACCTTTAGCTTGGACTGGATTTCTCTCGATTTCCTTCGAGCCAAAACCTGGATGTGACTGGAGACCTGGAGGGACAGAAGTGGATCTGAGCGGCCCCTTCCTCCTTAGCTGACGGTCGTTCCTCCACAGGCGACAAAGCCCGGGACCGAAGGCTGTCCGCAGGGGTGGAAGGGCAGCTCCGAGGCTGACCTCTAGGACCCTCCTGTCCTTCCTTCGTGGGTTTTCAGCCTCTCTCTGAGCCCTTTTGTAATAACGTCCTCCAGAATACCAGCTCTGACCAGATGGCTCAGCAGGTAAAAGGCACCTGGCACCAACCCTAACGTTCAAAGTTCCATCCCTGAGACCTACCCAGTGGAACAAGAGAACCAACTCCTGAATGCTGTCTTCTGATTTCTACATGCACACCATGGCACATGGACACATGGACACACACACACACACACACACACACACACACACACGTAATAAAAAAAAAGTACGTAGAGTTTTTTGTATTACATTTTATGTATGTGGGTTCAGGCGCATCATGGCGCATCTGCAGAGGTCAGAGGGCAAGTTGGAGGAGTTGGGTCTCCTACCACGTGGCTCCCAGGGACTGACTCAGGTCAGGCTCAGCAGTAAAGCCCCTATAGCCACTGGGCCATCTCACAGGCACATAACACAATCATTTTACAGAAGGATCTGGCATGCCTACAACACAGGGAAAATACATGAGACAGAGGCCAGGGTTCAGTCCATGCTCGCCCTTCATGCATGAGGGTGTCAGTTCAACCCACATAAATTTATAATCTCAGCACTAGGGAGTGCAGACCGACACTGGCTGCCGACTCAGTCTGGTCAAATCGGCAAGCTCCAGGCCAGTGAGCGACCCTGTCTCAAAGCAGTGAGCAGCACTGAGATGAAACCTGAGGTCATCCACTGACCTCCACATGTTCGTGCACACACATGCATGGATACCCCCACATACAAGCTTCATGCACACACATGGACGGGTACCCCACACATATACAGGCTTTATGCATACACATGGATGGATACCCCACACACACATAAAAGCTTTTCTTTTCTTTTTTAATCACATGAACCACATCTGCCTTGAACCTGAAGCAGCACATGAAGATGGCCCTCAGGAAGTGCCCGACCCCAAACCAAAGCCCCAAAGTGTCAGTCTTGAGACCTGCTTGCGAGTTCTTGTCTTCCCTGTCCTCAGCTTGATGTAACGGGCAATGAGTTCATTCCGGCCTGGAGTCAAAATGGAAAAGAGCAAGACTGTCAGCAGAACTTCCTGCCAGAGAAGACAGGCATGAGGGATGAGGTCAGCAAGCCAACAATCCTCACTCCACTACAGCCAAGACAGGCTGAGTGAGGGACTCCTCGGCCACAGGGTCACCAGCTCGGTCACAGAGTGGCTATGTGGCCACTGACAAATCACTTAGTTTTCCTGTGCCTCAGTTTTCCTCATCTGTGCAGAAAAAAATGCTAGTCTTTCTAAGTCATGGGAAGGATGCAAGCTTTTTTTGTTTTTTTCATTCATTTTTTTCTTTCCTTTCTCTCTCTCTTTGAGACAGATCTCTCTTTGCCCTGTGTGTCCTGTAACTCATTCTGTAGACCAGGCTGGCCTCACACTCAGAGATCCATCCACCTGCCTCCGCCTCCTGAGTGTACCACCACACCCAGCCTCATAGTTTATTATTTTGAGACAGGGTCTTATCTAGATGAGGCTAGCGTAGAAGTCAGTATGTAGCTGAGGATGACCTCAACTCTTGAGGTGTGTGCCACCAGAGCTGGCTAGACTCTAAACACGTTAGTTAGTGTGACTTTTCCCACTGGGGTCAGGGTGGCCACCACAGAGAACTCACCATACATCTTGCCCTCATCGGACAGGATGATCTTTCGGCGGCCACAGGGAGGGTAGATGGCCAGGGCCTCCTGAAAACTCTGCTCGATGTCAGGGCTCCACACGCCCTCTGCATCAGGGCCCCCGTCACCTCCGACACCCTCACTGCCTCCGGTCCCCTCCTCGCTGCCTTCCTCGCTGCCCGTCCAGCCCCCACCATCGTCCAGGGGGGCCCCAGTCCGGGGTTCCCCCATCTGGGCCTGCAGAGACAAAGATCAGCAGCTGTATATGGTGTTGCAAGGACAAGGCAGGGGCCCTGACTGAGGGAGGAAGCTAGGCCTGGACCTCCAGGCTGAAGCCTCGACCCCTGGTCTGAGGGAGCAGAGTAACCTAAGCCTGGGATCTGGGAGGCTGTTCTTCCCAAGCTTTCGGAGACACTTGCTCTGGGTTGAAGTCACCACCTCAGGGTGGTGCCTGAGGCCATGTGGACTAAAGCTGCGTGTGGATCACCGATTTCAGGGAAGAGCAGAGTCTGGGAGGTTGCCAGGAGTGAGAACCTCCAGTCCCACTAAGAAGGAACAGGTGTTGAGAAATGAGCAGCAGCTGCAGGAAAAGGAGAGGGAAGATCCAGGGAAAGAGGGAAGAGAGACCCAGAGGGAGTGGGGCAGAGACCCAGACAGGCACGGAGAAAGGGGGCATCGTCGTGGCTTTCAGGCTGAGACCAGAAAACAACCACAGAACCAGGCGGGGCTGGGGCCAAAGCGCCCATCAAGCCTCAGGCACTGGGACTCAGTCGTCCAGCCATCTGGAGGCCAGAACAAAGAGCCCTGGCATCCCCTCCCCCAGCTCCCCGCAACCCCTGCTGTGGGCGGGGCCTGCGTGCAAGCAGCCTCCACGGCCCCGCCCCCTCCCCGGGCTCGGCTCCAACCCAAGTTCCCGTCGACTTTCCGGAGGCCAGAAACAGGGAAAACTTTTCCCATACTGTCCGATACCGCCTCCCCGGAGCTTCCATGTCTTCCAGAACTTTCCCAGGCTCCCAAAGTTCTGAGTCCCATCCCCTCCTCGGGGCTCTCGACCTAGCGGAGGTTAGGCGAACAAAGACCCCAGGCCCAGCCCAGTGTGGCGGCCACGTTCAGGACCCCCGTAGGCTGAAATCCCAACCCTGCCCACTTCCATGTGGCCAGACAAAGAGACAGACGAGCTGGGCAAGACGGACATTAATGCTCTGCCCTGGTCCCCAAGCCTCAGAAGAGCCATGGACGAAGGTCCACGGGGCCTCGTGGCCCTCCTCGGGCCACCCCCGCGCCTTCTGGGCTCCGTGAGGGGCCACACGTCCACAGGGCGGACACTTGCAGAAGGGATGGCCCGGGAGGCGCGTGCCTCGCACCGCGGAGAGCTGCGGCCCTGTGCACGCACGTCCTGGGTCCGCAGCCCCCGGCCACCCCGCGCGCTCCCCCTGCCGCAGACCAGCCCCAGACCCCTAACTCTCAGAAAGTTCCAGCTCCACACTGCGGCTGCATCCCAGCGCAAACTCGGGCCCCACGGCAGGAGGAGGGCGGCGGGCAATTCCCACGCGGTCCCAGGAACACGCACCTCACCTCATCGCGCGGAACTCCCCACCCCAGCTCACACACCCCAAGCAGGACCCCGATTCCCGCCGGCGCCTTCCTACCTCCCGGCCTGGGCAGGGGAGCCGCGGGCGGGCGGGGCAAGACCGGGAGAAAGTTGCCGGGAGCTTTGTTTGGGAAAAGTGGGAGGGACCGCAGAGGGGGGGGCGGGCCCGGAGCAGGCTCGGGATCCCACCGTGACGCTCCGGGCAAGGTGTTTGCTTTGGGAGAGATGAGTCCATCTGAGGACTGGGTGCGGATGCTGGGGTCCCTAGGAGAAGAGGTAGTTATGGGGGCCTGGATTACTAGCTGTGAGGGAGGAGGCTGGGGCCTGGAGCCCTGGGTCTGAGGGAGGAGGCTGGGGCCTGGAGCCCTGGGTCTGAGAGAGGAGGCTGGGGCCTGGAGCCCTGGGTCTAAAAGAGGAATATTGGGATCTGGACCCCTGGGTCTGAGGGAGGAGGCTGGGCCTGGACTCCCGGGTCTGAGGGAGGAGGATGGGCCTGGACCCCTGGGTGTGAGGGAGGAGGCTGGGAGTTGAGGGGAGGGAGTGGATGGACTCCTAGTTCTGATGGAGGAGGAGCCGTGACCTGGGTCACCCCTGTAATGCGTGTGTTTACTGAGGATGTGGAATTGACAGGCAAACAAAGTAATCTTTACCAATTGTATATGGGTTTTTATTCTTATTCTGTGTTTTTAGATTTTTTTAAATTTTGTCTGTATAAGTTTTTTTGCACGTATGCCAGAAGAGGGCACTGGATCCCCTGGAACTGTAGCTACAGATGGCCCACTGTGTGGGTGCTGTGAATCCAATCCCGAAAGAGCAGTGCTCTAAACCACTGATCCATCTCTCTCTCT